GCCCCCCCGCCCACCCCTGCTGCCCCTCACCACTCGTGGGAGATGGCCTCCTCCGCTGTGATCCGCTGGTCCTGCTCCACCTCCATCAGGCGCGTCACCAGCTCCTTGGCTGGGGGCACAGTGGGGGAAAGTCAGCGCCGGGGTGGACAACATGGGACCCTGTGTGTCCCCCTGCGGCATGGGGCTCACCCGCCTGCGAGATGTCGTCCCAGTATGGCGGGTCGAACTCATAGTCCCCAGCCAGGATTTTGCGGAAGAGGTTCTTGTCATGGTTCTCATAGTCATCCTCGTCTGCCTCCTCATAGAAAGGGGGGTTTCCCGAGAGGCTGGGGGACAGGGCAGGGGACTCAGCCTGGCCCCCCAGGCCTCTGCCCCCCACAGCTGCCCCGGCCCTTGCCCTGCACTCACAGGATGTACATGATGACGCCAATGGCCCAGCAGTCCACCGGCCGCCCGTACCGCTGCCGCCCCACCACCTCCGGAGCTGCGAGGGACAGGAGAGCGGCCCTGCCCTGGGGTCCTCGACCCCTGTCCCCTTGTCCCCAGGGTGATGGGGAGCAGGAGGGACCCACCAGGAGCAGCCAGGATCAGCCCCGGGGTGATGAGGAGTAGGAGGGACCCACTGGGACAACCCAGGATCAAGCCTGGGGTGATGGTGAGTGAGAGGGACCTATCAGGAGCACCCACAATCAGTCCCCAGTGTGACAGCATCAGGAACCCATGGGGAGCACCCAGGATCAGTCCCTGGAGTGATGGGAAGTGAGAAGGACCCACTGGGAGCACCCAGGATCAGCCCTGGGGTCATGGGGGGCATCAGGAACCCACCAGGAGCACCCAGAATCAGTCCCTGAGGTGATGGGGCGTGGGAGGGACCTGCCAGAAGCATCTGTGCCCATCAGGAGGGACCTGATGGGACCCCCAGGACTGGTCCCCAGGGTGGTGGGGAGCATCAGGGACCTGCTGGACCCCCAGCAGTGCCACCCACCCCTGTGCACCCACCCAGCTGGCTCTCACCCACCCAGGTACTCGGGGGTGCCACAGGGCTCCTTGATGAGCCCGTTCTCCAGCTTGGCCAGGTGGAAGTCGCTGATGACAATCTTGGAGTTCTTCAGGCGGTTATAGTACACCAGGTTCTCCAGCTGCCAGCACAGGGGCCGTCAGTGCCAGGGCAGGGGGCACACCAGCACCCATGGGTGCTCCCACCCCCCCATCACCCACCTTGAGGTTCCTGTGGACGATCTTGAGTGAGTGCAGGTAGGCAACGGCCTCCAGCACCTGTCGGATGACATTGCTGGTGTCCCTCTCTGAGTAGTAGCCCTGGTCCAGGATCCAGTCGAAGACCTCCCGGCCAGTGGCCCTGCCAACAGCAGCTCTGCTGAGATCCCCCCGCGGCAGGAGCACCCCCAGCCAGCTCCCCTGCACCCCCCAAACTTACAGCTCCAGGAAGATGAAATACTCCTTGCGGGTGATGTAGACGTCCACCAGCTGCAGGATGTTGGGGTGCTTCACCCTACAGAGAGACAGGGGCATGGATGGGGGTCCCTGCTTTGCCTGGCAGCATGGGACCCCACTTCATCCCTGGTGCTCACATTTTCAGGATGATGATCTCGTTTTTGGCCGCCTTCCGCACCTTCCGCCCGTCCCGCTTCAGAAATTTCTTGCAGGTGTACAGCTTCCCCGTTGTCTTCTCCTTGGCCCGGAAGATTTCACAGAACTCCTCCCTGCAAGGGTGCATGCAGCCGTCACCCCCCCAGGGACCACCGAGCTTGGGGTGCTCAGGTGGTCCCCGGGCCCACCAGCAAGGAAAGATTCCGTAGGGATGGAAGGAAGGTGCAGCTAAAAAACACCCTCCAGAGCAGAGGGAGGTGGAACAAAAGGGCAGTAAGAAGAAACTGATACGGAATAAACAAATTGATAAGGAAAGGGGAAACTGCTGGTTAAAAAGCCCCTTCCCCATGGCAGCCAGAGTAAGATCCACTGCGAAGCTGCCCATGTCGAGGCAGAACAGCAGCACGCCCTGACATCAATGCAGGTGCTGCAGTCGGGAAGAAAGAAGGAGGGATGTGCTGGTTGCCTGGGGATGCTGCAATATTTCTGTTCTATTATTAATGGTGCTCGAGCCCATCGGCCGGGCCGGAGCCATGGGAGAGCCTGCAGGGAGCACCCAGCACTGCTCCAGCAAAGCCTTTGGCTTTCCAACCCCCCTGGCTGCACCAGAATCCTCATGGCTGCTACCCTGGGTGCGCGGGAACTGGGACCCATGGGCTTTGGGACAGGCTGCCCGGAGGATGGAACAAAACTTTGAGAGCACCCAAAGAGGCCCCCACCGCCACCCAGCATAACCTCACCAGGCAGGCATGACCCACAGCCAAGCAGTCCCAGCATTTTGCAGGCCAGTGGAAAAATTTCTGGTGCATATTTTAGAGTCAAACTGCTTTTAACAGGTCAGAGGGCTTCATTTTGTAGGGTGCTTCCGAAAGGGTTCCCCAACACGGCAATAAAAGTTGTGGAGAAGCAGCAGCACTTTGCTCCCCCGCAAATGACATCTGCCCTTTCCTCTGCTGGAGCAGAGCCCTCCTGCTTCCTGCGGCACTCAGGGGAGCCAGGATCATGTGGAATTACTGCAGTTCCCGCAGATCCTGGGGGGAAGAGGGAGGGATACAAGAAGCCACCTGGTTGCAGCCACCAGCAGCAGGGAAACCTCGCTGCCCTCCTCGGAGCCGGTGGTGAATACCCTCATGCACCCACCAGCCCTTAGGGACTAATTAGGGGATAACCACCTGAAAATGCACCATGTCCATTCCAGCTGGGGACCGGCACCCCAAAAGCCTCCATGAGCAGTGCCATGCCACTCCTCAGCCCAAGGCATGCAGGAAGTTGTGGTCCCCAGGGCACCCCCGGATCCAGGGAGGGACTAACTCACGTTTTGATGACCTGGCCCAGGTCATATCTGTCGGTCACCTCGGACGGCTGGTTATAATCTTTCTTGTCTCCCAGCGTCACGCAGCCAAACGGCATCGCAGGGCCCGGTGCTGGCAGAGCAGGGAGAAGCGGTGAGTGCCCTGGCACCGCCAGCCCCCTGGAGCTGCGCCAGGCCCCCCCGAGTCGTGCTAATTAACGTCAAACCTGACGAAGCACAGCGGCTGCTCGTGCTCCCCGGCTGCTGCAAGCCGCCACGTGCCCAGCCTCACCGATGTGTGTCCATCCCCGTGGCATCTGGCCACTCTGCCTGGGCTCAGGCTGCTGGCATGGCTGCAAGCTGACCCCTCTGGCTCTCGTTTGCAGATCATTAATAATTTATTAAGTAGTCGGGACTAGCACAGAGCCCAGAACACCCGTTGGGGAGGCAACCAGAGGCGAATGGACCCTTTCCCGCTTTCTCAGCCTGGTTTTGCCTCACGGTGACATTTCTGCAGCCAAAGCTTCCCCAGTAGGAGCATCATCACAAACCATCACATGTGCAGCAAGTTACACCAGCCTCAGCTACCCATCTGCTACCAACCCCAGCAGCCCCACTGCAGCACCAGGAAGGCAAACACCACAGTTCAGCGGTGCCGGCCCTCCTGCTGCTGGCAGCAGGCAGGACACCATCCCAGCACGCACCGGCTCCTCCGGCCCTTTAGGAATGACATTTTGCCCCTTGCTTTCCTGCCAGGAACCCTTTGAAACCAGACCCTGCTTGGAAGCTTCCCAGAAAAATATTGGTTCAATGAAGTGTTTTTTTTCCCTTTCCCACCCCATTACCAGGAGGAAGTTTCAACTGACATTATTTTCTAATGGCTCAGAAGGAGACAGGGCTCCCTGGGCCCCCCCAGTCCTCTTAGAGGATGGGCCCGAGTGGGACCCAGTGGCAGGATGCTGGCACAACGCTGGAGTCACACGTTGCCCAGCGCTAAAGCTCCTGAAACACCACGCTGCAATGTGCCAGCCTCGCCGTGCCGTGCCAGCAGCACCCGGGGCCCGGCAGCGAGGGCCGCGGGCAGGATGGCAGCGCGGGATGCGGGAGCCGGCATCGCGGGTACCCAAGCTCTGAGCCTGTTGCTATGGCAATGGGAGCTGGAGATGCAGAAAGCGGCACATCCTTCGGAGGGGGCAGGGACGGGCAGCACCCGGCAGCACCCGACCCACCTGCGGGTGCATAGCCCCAGCCCCGCCACACGGGTGGGCCCCGGGAGGAAGGTGGTCCTGTCCACAGCCCCCAGGACATGCCCCTAAGTGCTCCCTGGGGTGACTGACCCCAAATCTGGGTGGGACATGGGTGAAGCGAGCTGGGAAACGGAGGGGATGCTCCTTCCTGCCTCCATCCCTCGGGGCTGACCTGCCTCTGTGCCTGCAGGATGGGTGGTCCCAGCTCGCATGACACTTGGGCACCCTCCTGCTGGGAAAGCCACACTGGGCAAGACAGCTCCTGTCCCCATCCTGCACTGGTGCACCCAGACCCAAAAGAGAAGCAGAGCACCCATGGGACATTCTTCCCCGCGTCACAGACTGGGCAAGGCTTTCCAGCCCACGCTCAGCTCATCCCAACAGCCTCCTTGGCAAACGTGTCCTGCCTGGCACCTCAGTGTCCCCACGCCACACGATGCTGGCTCTGTCGTGCCACTGTGCCCGGCCGAGGGGGACAAGGGCTGTCCTGGCAGCCACTGGCATGGTGGCGGGCTCGGTGCCAGGGGCCGGCAGGGGTAGAGCCGACCCGTGGGCAGGCGGGAATGCTGCCAGTGCCGGTGGCGTGATGCCAGGATTAGCTGGGAAGGGGACCCGGGTGGGATGATATATCGGGATTTCACTGCTGTCTCTGCGAGCACTCAGCTAATCTGCGCTCATAAAATTAGTTCCTGTTGGTTTAGTGGGGACCCATCCTGATAGGGCTGAGCACCGGCACCCTCCCCTGCCCCGGGCTGGCTCGGGGGGACTCAACACACCCGGGGTACCCCATAAGGGAGGCTGGCACCCAGCCCCACATCGGGGCCAGCACCTGCGCCCCACAGGTGAGAGCACCCTCACGGTGGCAGGGGCACCCAGGCAAGGGGTGGGCAAAGGGGTGAGTGCTCCCTTCACGGGGTGCCGGGGGTGAGGGTGGGTGCCGCGCCGGCACCTGCACACAGCCAGCACACACCACCAACCCCCCCCCCCCCC